TGATTATTCTAGAAGGTGGAGAAAAATTTGTTTCAATCACCATCAACCAACAACTATCTATTTTATCACTATTATGGTCTAGGCGCTGCTATACACTTTGCAAGGTTATGGATTGGATTTTGATTTCATATACTCTGTGGTGTTTTGTTGCCTTTTCAGTAGTCCCAAACTTCTCACTAGGGTCTCCTCTGTCTTTGCCTACTATTTTAACCCCAAACTCATGTCTGCTTTAACACTGTCAGACCAGACCTGTGGCTGCCTGTGCATCAGAGTACTCCCTGTGCCTTTGCCCCACCGCCTAGGATGCTTCTTAATCCTACCTGCACCTTACCCTCAGATTAGCCGTTGAGTCCCAGCTCAGACAACAAATCTTGATAGAGTTCTTCCATGGTCAGTCATTATAAAGTGATGTTTTATACCTTTTTTACATATACTAGTTGTATGGTATAGACACTTAATATTATCTTGTTCATGTCCTTACACATCTACCATGTCTTTTCACTGTCCTGACTGTGAGCTTCATGAAGGCAGAGTGACTTCTTTTCTTGATCATATCTTTAAAATACAGTAGGGTTTATTCAATCTGATAAACATTCTAGAACTAGTTGATGAGCAGACAAATGGATGAACAATACTTACATAGATAAATTTGATGTGGAAACTAGAGTTAGAAGATAAAACAATTTTATCTCCATAGAGGTACAAAATGAACAGAAGACATTGGGTGCTCATCTCTAAAGGGAAACAGAATATTGAGTCATAACATGATCTTTAAAGAAAGAAGCAGAGAAGATATCTAGGAAAGACAATCAGAGAGGAAGAGAGTAAACTCTGAGCCCACAACCTCCTAAATGAAAAAGAGGGAAAAAAAGAAAACAGAAAATAAAAAAACAAAACAGGAATGAGTGCCAGGCAGAAAGGGAATTTGGCAGGATATAAAACTTCGAGGCCCAAGGAAAATGAGCAATAAGAAAAGTCCAATGTAATTTGAAGATAGATGTTTCTAATAGACCATTTCTGTAGATGAAATTGTCACAACTAACTGAAGATATGAAAAACCGGGACATTAATGAGAATAGGAAAACAAATAGAAAACACAGAAGACTATGAAGAACTTATGATTAAATTTACTGCTGTTCAGACTCTATCCCTTGATTCTATTAACTCTATTGCTTGTTTCTATTCTATTTGTTAAATAATAATTCCTAATAACAATGACTATCCTGCTAGGTTTTTATTTGTATATGCAAATTGTATAGGAGATGATCTGGTAAGTAGCTAAGCACCAGTAAAACTGTTTAAAGTTATCTGTTTCTTTAACAGCTAATTAATTTGGGATGGCAATAAAATAGCCACATTCATTTAAAAATACATTTTAAAACTAAATAAAATTGTGGAATAGTGTGCTATGAAAGAAACTCCAAAAATGAAATGCCTCAAAAAACATATGGGATTGTGAAAGTGAAGAGAGGAAGATGTTAGCCCAGAGGGAAGCAGTGGCAACAACCAGGGTAGGGGAGTTGGGGGGGGGGGAGGTGGTGGACGACAATACCTGGGTTATGTTTCTGTGTCCAATCTTGGTTTATGCTTCAGGGCATGCTCCAATCAGTGTCACAATCAGCTTGAGGCTTTCTAAACATAGGAATTCATGAGACACCCCAGAATTCCTGTATTAAAATACCTTGGTGTGAGACCAAATAATCTGTCTTTAACACATTTTTGAGGGTGATTCTTAGGTTTCCTCAAGCATAGGAGCTTCATCCAATGGGATATTTATACTGTCTCTCACCTGGATCCATGGGACAACCTTATCTGTGGTTCTGCCTCAGCCTCATCTATGTGTGGGGTGCTTTAGGGGTGAGACTGTGGGAAGATCTTAGATGTGTGAGTGTAGAAGCTTAAATGAACAGTTTAGTGACTTTTGTTTTTTTAGAAAAAGTAAAGTCTTAAACTTAGAACAAACTTATGTTAAGGCATTAGTATGTAATTATAATGAGAAAAGAAAATAAATCATTGGTTTTTAAAAGGTAATATTGTAAACACTAGGATAAAATTATTAATAATCAACTGTGTTACATCAATACTTTGTGGTCACAGTTTTCAGTTGACAACTGTTTACCACTGTAATTTTGTGTTCAGGTAAGACAGTGTGTGTAGATAGGAAGGTAATTGTCTCCCATGATAGTGCTGACAGAAAATTTTAATTATTGATGGTTGTGATATGTAAAGCTTACAATTCTATGTAAGAATATCTGTTGTATATAACCTGTAGACACAAGTATTATAATTAATTTTATTTTCTGTAATATCTGTAAAAAAGGAAAAATAAGTAGAGTGTAATTATATGTAGTGAATTCAGTATTTTTCCTGAGAGCAGAGAATTTTTGTTTTGACTAGGTGTCCATGAAAATTGACTTGTAGATTTAAATTTTTACTCATGTGAAAATTTCCCATTGCTGCTGGCATACCTCTTCTTTATTCTCCACATATTCATGCTGCCCACTATGGGTCACTTTACCAACAGTGTGTCCTTTTGTGTCAATAATGTTCCCATGTTCAGTGGGTTGATGATGCCATGGGTTGAAACAAACATCTCCAAAACACACTCCAACAGCAGGGGAGCCATCAATGATGTACCTGTATGGATGCTACAAGCCATGTAAATATATTCTGTACTATCCCAGCTGTATGAGCTCTTAGTTCAGTTTTCTCTTCATTGAATCTTCAAAATACTTGTAAGTCCTCCAAAGCCCCAATGGGAAAGGAAACCAGAGTAGAGAAAGACAGTGTCTAATGAATTCCATTGACAGTATCATTTATGGTCAGCTCCATAGGAGTATTTGACTGTGTTCTCACAGTATTGGGGCCTCTTCAAGGTTGTTCAAAGAAGACTGTCCCAGGGAGGACTTAAATCTTCAACTTCATTCATTTGACTGTAATTATTTTTCTAAGAAAGAATGAAAAGAAAGATGGATTCAAGATTGTCTTGCCTATTTGTTTTTAGCAATTCGATATATTTGGATTGTTGAAAAAAATAGCACCCTCAGCCTATGTGAGTTCTCCACTTGGTACAGGGTTATTCATATGAGTTAAAGCAGTAACTTTAGTGTGCTTTGTAAGGCCTTCCACTATAACCTCACCAAGGAAGTTCCCCACTGCCTTTCCTGCTCTTGATTCATTTTACAGAGTTGGAAACTGAAGATTTGGGAGTGTGGTGGGAGTAAAAGGCCCCAATACTAATAAGAGAAGGCCATTAAGCTATACAGCAAAAGATCTGGATTCTAACCTTACGATTTGACAGGACTTTGAAATCTCTGGCCAGTCAATAATGGTGTTGGACAAAAGTTCACTGCTTCCTGAGAACCTGTGTTCTTTGAAGATGATCCAAGTGGCTCTGCTTTCTTGATATTTAACATGATAGTTACAAGATTTTTTTCTGAACATAGTTATACTATGAAAAGAGGTTTTCAAGAGGAAGCTATGTATTCAGATGCACTAAAATGTTTAGAATCCCCTGGGCAGCATTTTTACAATGGTCTCCCTGAGCCCCAGTTTCTAACACTGGAGACCAGTAATTGTAATCATTAGGTTTCTTTTGGATTTTGATGCTTAGTTGAGGTTGAGTGAGGATATTCCAGACCAATAGCATTCAGGCTTGTCTACCTATAGGGCAATGGGGTAGGCTATGGTGTTACTGGTTATTGGGTACACAATCTGTTATTTTTATTTAAATAAAAAGATTGTAGATGCCTTTAGAATAGCACCACCACTGATTCTGATGTGTATGTCTATAACTGGGAGTTCTTCTTCCAAGTAATCACTGTATTCTTTCAACTTATTACTATGTATTAAAACTCTTGGTATCTATATCATCACCCTGTTATGTTTATTGAGCATATCTTTTCAACAAGTGATCATTTCATACCTAAATAAATAGTGATACTCTTTATTGTGGTGACTCACAGAGAAACAGCTGAAGTGAGATGCAGCATCATTAGTTTCCCTGCACTTACCTCCAGAGTGTCTCACTGGTCAGAACTGCAAGATTCGCATGCCAAGATTCCTATGTCACTTATCTCCTTGCTGTAACATAAGTCTTATAGTCAACTGCAGAAGGTTAACTTCTCTAATCTCCACTCAGACATTTTTGAAAATTAGCAGATTGAAATCAAGGGACCTTACAGATATGACTCTAAAACTCTGTGAATGTTTCCTTACTTCACAGAATGATTAAATAGAAAATAAAGTCTCATATCCTCCAGGTTTCCAGGGCATTCTTTCTAATTCTCATTGATCTTCATGCATAAAAATAGCAGTGAGTGATGACTCTGCTATGGCCCTATCCCCTACGATACTCTGTGTTCTATAGGAGAGTTATTGGGAGATCATCTTATCGCACAGAATTAGTCTTGGCTGGCAATTTAGGTACAGTGGAAATTAACACACAGTACAGGAGGACATTGTCACTATTTTGCATGAAGGTTTAGCAATCATCTGAAGTGTCCAAAAGACTCTTTTTAACTCCAAATAGGGAAAAGTTCTCAGTATCAGCTATTGCAGGCAAAATTGTTGCTTTGAGACTTTTGTTTTTAACTCTCCAAGTAAATTGAGTAGTCATTTCTGTGGTACACATATGCAGTGTTGGGGTTAATTTATTTGCTCAGACTCATTCAGCATTGTACCCCAGGACTTTGGTGGCCCTCTGAATATCTCCTTCCAAACACAGTTGGGATTCTAATAGTTCTTTGGAAAATTGTTTTCAGGGCATCTTTCCTTCAGAGATATGTGGGTGTCTTATACACACATCAAATAAGGGGACTGAATTGAGCACCCGAAAGAGCCAATTTGGTCCAGAGGAAACAGACTTTTAGAGTTGTCAGGAAGGTGGGAATGTACAGCCAGCTGCCAGCCGTATCTCTTCATCAGTTGATTCCTCTGCTTTTTTCTTCTATCTCTCAGTGTTTTAATGTGAGTGCTTCTCTGTGCCTGGTTCATTTCAGATGCCTCAGGAACAGTACTCCCACCACAGGAGCACCATGCCCAGCTCAGAGGGGCCACACATATACAAAGTGGGGATTTACGGCTGGAGGAAAAGATGCCTGTATTTCTTTGTCCTGCTCCTCATGATTTTAATACTGGTGAACTTGGCCATGACCATCTGGATTCTCAAAGTCATGAACTTCACAATTGTAAGTAAAACTGTATAAATATATTAGCTCTCACTAAGGGAAAGGGAAGCATGGAGCAAGACAGCAAAAGAATGTGGGAAAGTGGTATCCTATGACCTGGCATTTAAGTTCAAGTGAATTTCTGTTCAGCTTGAGTATGAATAACAACTTCTGTTTAATCTCAGTCCTTCTCCAGCTGAGAATCCAAATTTAGTCATTTCTGTCATTTCAGATATCTTGTATGCCTTCCCTCCATCATGATAATACTTCTGCATCCTATAGTCTTTGACCACTTAAGGAAATAATTCAGAAGTAAGTGGAGGATAAAATGAAATTACTTGTTTTCACCAATTTTAGTAGAAAAAATGAATCCTTTCATCAGGCAAGAGTTGAAATGTATAAGTACAGTTGTGCTTCAAGAATCATCTCAGAGTGATAGCAGGCAAATTACACCTGTTTGTCCATCACTGTGGTTCACTGGAAGCCTCTAGTTGGGGGAGGGAAGTCTTTTCTGCTATTGCAAGGGGTTAGATGGAAATGAGAGGAGTCAAGCTGTATTTCCTTGTTTTGTTTTGTTATTCCTTTAAAGAGATATGTATGTTTTGATAACAGTCTTATTTCTGGTGCTCAGGGCATTATATAGATCAGAAATTGACTTGTTGAAATTCAGGTGAAAAGAAGACTGTTGCAAAATAACATGTGTGTATTCTGAGGTCTTAATTTAGTGATTTAAGTCTGTAGAATCAATATAATTAACTTACTAATGAGAAGGTCACAGATGCTAATCTGCTGCCCTGGGAATACATTTTCTCCTTCTGATGTCAAAAGTTAATGGACAGGCAATTAAACAACTCCTTATTGATAAAGAAATGGAGTCATACAAACGAAGTGAAATGGCGAGGTCTTCCTGGGAAAATCCCAAATGTGAACATTGATATTTATGTTGTTTTTGTATCACAAAATTCATTTTTTGTGCTTGGCTTGCTCAGGCTGCATCTGCTAGTTGGTCTGGTTTCTTTCCTCCATCTTTCCTATCTGGAAATGACACACCTTGATGCTTTGTGGCTGCTTTTATGCATATCATGTTGTATTTACCTCTCCAGAGGACAAGTGCTTGCATGTGTTAGATTTTTATGCACACTTTCTCTGTGTGCCTTTGTCAATCACTTATAGTGGTGTTCGTTGGCACTGGTGTTAAATGTAGTATCTAAAACCAAGGCTAGAGATACTGCTGCAGGCTTAAGAATGGACCATTCTTCAATACCCATAGTTAAATTTCAGAAATATATCATAAAAAGTTGCCCTAGTTTTTCATAGCTCTGTCTTGAAGGAAAATGTCTGTTTCTTTATAGAATGCAGAATAGCTTCCTGCATTCCAACATCAAATTTGGAATGCAACATTGGTAAATTTCCATGTGGCTGCTGTGAGTCCCAGGTCATGTGTTGTAACACATTATAATCTGTTGGTAGGTGGTACTCAATACATACATTTGGACTTTAATGTTCTCTTTTTTTGTTTTCCTTTTTTTTTTTTCCTCACACAAGGTTTCCCTGTGTTACATTCCTACCTGTCATGGAACTCACTTTGTAGACCAGGCTGACCTTGAACTCACAAAGACCCACCTGCTTCTGCCAGAGTGTTGGGATTAAAGGTGTGCAGTCCCACTTCCAGCTGAATTTGGTGTTCTTTATGGACAAGCAAGATTTAGAGAAATGCCTAAGTAAAGAGAAGGGCTCAACCAGATTGTATCTAGAGCTTGCAAGTGGGGATGCGATGGAATAGAGAAAGTTTCTAGAAATTTATGTGTGAGAGGTGGCTTTTACCCTGTTTGGTTTGGTTTGAAGACCAGGCGATTACAATTGACCTTTATTGACCTGCCTTTTCCATAGTGTTCTTAAGTTTAACTTGTAAAAATGTATAAACTGAAATAGCTTTTACACTACGGCATTAAAGATGAAAAAGACAAGCACACAGGCATAGCATAGAGCAATAACTCAAAGATATTTAAAGGGTAGAACTTTTAAGTTGCCTATTCGTTGATATGTCAGGGTTGAGGGGTAAAAAGATAATTTGGAAGAATTTCTGTTTGTGGCTAATGAGAGGGTTAGATGGTTGGGTTCTGAAAGCATGATAGTTTGTGACTTCTACAATGGAACTTAGCTGAGGAGGCTAAGTTCCTCCTGTGGTGCTGGAGGCTAACCTTTCTATCCCCCCATTTTTGTGATTTTCATCTGGTCTGACCCAGCTCTAAAATGCAAGAGATTTAGGGATTGTGGTGGAAAGAAAGAGCTCAAGATTTGATAAAATCAATATTAAGCAAATATGACTTGAAGAGAATGCTTTATGTGATGAGATTCATAGAAGTGAATACAAATATATAGAGAATACCACCTACCCTGGGCACATGTGAGCTTGGAGAGCAGTGTGACATTAAGGTAATGATCTATATGAAATCAACTATTTCCTGTAGTTAACTAAATTGAGTGCCACATTTCAGAGTATTTAAAGCTTTACCACACCAAGTACTTACTGCAGTGAGAATAATTCCACTATTAGTCATAATTGGTGCTTTATAACAGTAATGCATTTGAGCAAATAGAACTCAAGTATTAGAAAATTGGTCTTGCCCTGCAAGTTAAAAGTATATTTTATCTACCAGTCACAGCATAAAATATATTCTCTTAGAATTATAATTCTATGTCACAAATAGTAATTTACTGACAATGAAGATCTTGCAAAAATAGAGCGAGGTATTAATCAATGTTCTACTGGAGGATAAGAGATGAGTGAGCAGCAGGAATCAACAAGGTGCCAGTGTGCCATTTTATGAAGAGCTTTTAAACATTATCAGTGGAACAGAGTGGTTATTTTATATGCTTGAATACGCTTGTTCAAAAATTAGGGGTTTGGAAAATTTTACATTATAATCAAACACCCAGAATGCAACAAACCAAGAGGTTGGTGACATTTCTAAGGACTTGGCAATTTATCCAACACTGAACACTGTCGATGTTTGATTTGATGTCAGAGTTGTGTTCTGCTCAACCTAAGGTTGCAAAGTCTGTGGAAGAGCTGTTGCTATAACAACCTGAAGTGACAAATGAGTTTTCCTTGTTTAGAAATAAATCCAAAGATAACTAATTTCTCTTTCCTATGATTGTGGCAGAATACCCTAGTGCCTGTGACTGGTCAAGAGAATCTGACTACCATTCTCAATCTCCTCTACTTTGGAAAGTACATGCTTTTCCAATATTAATAACCTCAGAAATCAGACACTCTTCATTAAGCATGCTGCGCTGTATAAGAAAACTGATATTTCTAGTGTCTACTCTTTCCTAGGCACTGTTCATAACATTTAAATGTTTTCATCAAATTTCCAAAACAATTATATAAATGAAATAGTTTTAATCCTCTGTAATAAAAAGGAACCCACAATCCTTTATAATAAAAAAGAACCGATGCTTCAGAGAAGTTAAGAGACTCAGTGAAAGATGTATGGCTAGTGAGTCCAAAAGGGATGTTTGACCTCAAAATCCACTGTATAGGACCCTCTCTCCCCAGTTGTTTTGTGATATGGCTCTTCAGTCAGGTTCTGAATCTTCTGAACTGGCTCCTTCATCTTTCTTTGATCTCTGGTGTCACAGTTTCCTTTGCCATCTAAGGTTTCCTGTGGCATTTTCTGCTTAGATTTGGCAGTTGGCAAAGTTCGCTCCTTACTTCTCATGATTGGCACAGGCAGTGGATGACCTTCTCGAGTACTGCCCGCACTTTCACTCACCTTGTGCTAAAGTGACCAGCTAGTGTGCCATATGTTAACTTGAGGGTCCTGTCCTCATGCAATAGTGAGTTAAGCATGAGCAGCAGCATTTATCACAAAGGAAGGCTCAGCTCTGACAACGGAATGTCACAAGAGGCTCCACACAATAGTGTAGTTGTTGAGATTTCGGGCTCTGGAAGCAGCATTCTAATTATAGTTCTTGCTTCTACCATTTACCATGTGGCCTTTCATGCATTCCAAAACTCCTCTCTGCTGCCATTTGTCAGAGGTCACGCCAGGACATACTTCACAGAATTGTTGTGACTGTTATAAGATGTAGTGGAGGTAGTGTTGAGAGTACAGCCTGATGGAGAAGTACTTTATATATGTGTTTAATGCCATCATCATAGGGTTTTTTTTTCAGGCTCCATCTATTCCATGGTTCTCCTGCCATTCAAAAATAGAGCCTAACTTATAAGCTATAACCTATCCAAGTTAGACTATCTCAGAATTATTTTTGTTAACTTGGCATAAGTCAGGGCCATCTGGGAAGAAGGAACTTCAGTTGAGAAAATGTCTCTATTGAACTGGCCCATAGACAAGCTTGTGTTTATTCTCTTGATTGATGACTGAAGTGAGAGGTCCAATCCACTGTGGATAGTGCGACCCCTTAGCAGGTGGTCCTGCCTTGTATGAAAAAGCAGACTGAACTAGCCATTGAGAGAAAACCATAAGCAGTGTTTCTCCATGGCCCTTTCTTGAGTTCCTGCTTTAGGTCCTGCCCTGACTTCTCCCAATAATGGACTGTGAGGTTGAAGTATAAACTAAAAAAATACGTACATACATACATACATACAACACCTTATTTCCCCAGTTGCTTTTGATATGGTATTAATCAAGGCAATAGAGAGCAAACTAAACTATCACAAACTTTAAAAAGAGAGAGAGAGAGAGATGCAATAACTTGGCTTGAGATGGCAGAATAATAATTTGAACGCAAGCTAATTGACTGCAACTCCTGGTCTGTTAGTGAGTTTGATATTCTGGGGAACAATGAAGAAAACGTCAGCCTGAATGCCAGGGATTGATGACTAACCATGGTTGGTATAACCTTTCTCCTCAGAACTCAGGATGGAGCTAAGTGTTTTAGCCCCTGTGTCTTCCGAGGCAGATTCCTGCTTGGACATTTCAATTCTGTACTTTGCTACTTGCCTTAGCATGTGAAGTGTCAGTCTATGGAAGACTCTTGCCTCTGCCAACACA